GGGCTCAGGGGGGGGACGAAGGGGCGGCAGCGCTTGGAGCTGCAAGGTTTGCAGAGCAGAGAGGAGAACAGCGGCGTGGCGAGCCGTGCCGCCTGTGAGGTGGCAGGCGCGGTGCGCATCAGGTGGCGGCAGCGGCGCCACCCAGGCAGCGGCAGGGGCGCCCTCGGATGCGTCATGCCGTGCCCGGGCACCCCCAAACCCCCCAAAACATCTCGCAGTCAACACGATGATCTCAAACGGCTACCTGGCGAAGGTGCGAGGGGCTGGCCCCGCGCCGGGCAGCAGGGGCGCTCCATTTCCACCCTGCTGAGCGGGGCGCCCCGCTGGTCAGTGCAACCAGCCAGCCGGCCCCTGTGCGGCCCTGGCTGGCGGCAGTCCGTGAGTTGCGAAGCTCGTGGACTACGGTAGTGATTAAAACTGAGACAATTTTTTTTCACCCAGAGGTGCCTTTGTTACCGGTCTTGTTCATCAAAAGTGCCCCACCCTCTGTTTCCTGTGCGTTCTTCCCAGGTGGTCAACGAGCGTGTCGTGACCGAGGAGGACATGGGCCGCGTGGGACTGGGGACGGACGGCGACTTCAACCAGAAGGAGCTGTCAGACCTCTGCAACAGGTGAGGCAGCTCTTTGCGGGTCTGCTGGACAGCCCGCAGACGCGCCGACAGCCCCGGCCGCCGCGTCGCACCTAATCACCCCCTCCCTGAATGCGAATCCGAGGCGCTAAGCATGGCTGCAAGCAGCCAGCACCACGCACGGGCTCGTCCGAGACGCACTTGACCCCACACTGGCTGTCCTCCCCGCGCGCCGCCGTGCGCGACCCCAGCCCCAGCCGCAACGCGCTCGTGGTGGAGACGTGGCGTCGCCTTGCGGGCCCGGGCGGCAGCAAGGCGCGCCCCGACGGGACGGCACGCAAGACGCTCGTCTTTGCGGTGGACCGGGCGCACGCGGAGGCACTGACCAAGGAGTTTGAGGCCGCGGGTGAGTTGGCGCGGCCGCGCCGAGGGCGGGAAGCGCGCCAGGGCTCCTGCTCCGTCCTGCGCACCTGAAGTGACCACCGGAAATAATCAACGCAGCGGGTTTCAGACTTGGCTCCGGCCAAGCAGTCCGCTCATTTTTGCGTCCCGCGTTGTCAGCGGCACGCGGACCCAACGTATCGGGCGCCAAGCGTCCGCCCTATAGACGAATCCCCATGCCCCCGTCGCGCCCCGTCCCGCGGCGCCAGGCGTCAAGGGGTGCGCGCTGCTGCACGGCGGCACGCCGCTGCAGCTGAGGCGCAGCGTGCTGACGGCCTTCAAGCACGGCGCGCTCAGCGTGCTCGTGAACGTCATGGTGAGCGCAATTATATTCATGTTATATTCTGCTCTACTCTACCCTACTTTACCAACCACACCGCTCCCCCCCCCCGCCCCTAGATCCTTACCGAGGGCTTCGATGACCCGATGGTGGAGGCGGTGTTCATGGCCCGCCCCACGCGCTCCACCAGCCTGTACACCCAGGTCCGCCGGCGCAGCGGCGGGCGGCCGGGCAAAAGCTGGGACGGCGGGAGGGCGGGGGGCTGGGAGCGGGACCGGGAGTGAAGGAGGGTGGCAGATTGCACCTGAAAAGGGGAGGTTAAACAGTGCAAGTCGACGCTTTCGTGCGCAGCAGAGCCCGCGTTTAAGAACCACCACTAGGGTTGCGCTGCGTTCGGCACCCGCAGTGCGTTTCGCAGCCCTGGCCCTACCCTGTCCCGCCTCCAATGCTGACATGCCCGCGTACGCCGCTGCGGCCGCCCGCGTCGGCGCGCCGCATTGTGGCAGATGGTGGGCCGCGGGTTGCGCAGGCACCCGCTGAAGCGCGAGGGCTGTCTGGTGGTGGACTTCACTGACTCGGGGGGCAAGCATGACATCAGCCAGGTGGGGGATGTCAGCATGTGCAAGACTGTGTGCTCCTGGGTGCACGTGTGTGTGTGTGTGTGTGTGTGTGTGAGTGTGTGTGTGTGGGGGGGGGATGCACGTGTTTGCAAATGGCAAAGGGAGGGACAGAGCGTATGAGCGATGGAGAAAAGAGAGCGTATTACGCATGTGACAAAGAAAGAGAGACAGACAGGAAGAGAGAGCGCGCACGTGCGCACGCATGCGCACCTGGACGCACATCGTACATCCCCACTGCGTGTGCGTGCACGGGTGTACGGTGATGCAGTCTTTTGAGACATGTACAGATATGTAATATGGGTAGCTGTGCAGAATCTGGTAGCCATCACGACGTCAGCCTGCGGATTATACTCCTCATTTATACTGATCAGCATTCATGGATACGCCCCATTACACTGCAGTCATCGGCGCGGCATCCTGGCCCGTTACACCCCGTGTCCCAACAGCTGGCAGTTACCAACCGCCAACCAACCCCTTAACATGCCGACCGCCGCCCGCACCGACCGACTGCCATTTCCAGATCGTGGACTGGCGGACTGTGCTGGACGCCGGGGAGGACAGCGCCCCGCCGGCGCCGCCCGGCGGCGACCGGGCCGCGCGGGTGGGGGAGGCGCTGCAGGCAGTGCGCGACCTGCTGCAGGCCGACGACGGCGCCAGGTCAGCACACCGCGGACGCGGCCTGGGGTCGTTCTCCTCAGGCGCTGCGCCGGCGAAACAGCGGTTTCTCCGGGCCTCCAGACGCCCCAACCTGCCGGGGTGGGGGCGGCCATCGGGCCCGATGCAGCAGCCAGTTGGCGCCCCGCACCGGTGCCTCCCAGCACGCTCGACGCCCCTCCATCACACTGACGCGCCCCTTTTCCTCGTCCCCCACACTCGTGCACGCCCTTCGTACCGCAGGTTCTGCTGGGTGCAGTCCGGCCCTCACTTTTCCTGCAGCCTGTTCAACCATGGCAGCCTCTGGCTGAAAAGGCTGTCGCCCCCGGGGCTGCCAGGGGGCGCCGAAGCGGCTGCGCAGGCGCCCGCGCACGCAGAGGGCGAGCCCGCGGCCGCGGCTGCGGCGGGCGGGACCGGGGCCGCGGGGGCAGCCGAGGCGGCGGCGGGTTCGCCGGGGGCTGGGTCGGGGCC